CGGTGGCTGGTGAGGGGGGAGAGGCGACGAGATCTTCGCCGGTGGGAAGAAGGGAGTCGTCGGTGGCGAAGGTGGAGTTGGGGAGAGTGGCGGAGAGGGATTTGGTGATGGCTTTGGAGGTTTGGAACCATGGGTCAGGGGGTTGGTAGGTGACGGCAATGACAGAGAAGACGAGGACGGAGATGACGAAGATGGAGAAGCAGAGGTTGCCGATGAGCTTGACGAGTTGTTGTCCCGCCGCCGGGAGCTCCGGTGGGGTGCTTCCGGCGCCGAGCTCCTTCATAGTTGATGATGAAAAAGTGTGTGGATCTAGAAATCCTGGAACGGTTAGGGTTAGGGTTGCGTGAAGTGGAAGGGAGACGAGGGTTTGGTGGCGGTGAGCGAAGGAGAAGAGGGGGAGCAGTGGTTGGAAGGGTGGCGGCGAAGTGACGGCTGCGGTGACGGGATCAGTATGGATGTGGACACCGCCAAGTGAAGAGAGAGTTTGGTTTGTAGGTTTTGAAAGTGATGGCAAGTGCTGAAGGGGAATGGTCGTGTGAAGTTTTACTGGATCACCGGGGTGTTACGGGAACTTGACAGAAAAGGAAAGCAACGCTGTATATAAGTTTATATTTTAAATGGAAGGAATAATGTATGTATGATGAGAGCATTCGTGTCAATTGATCAAGCGTATAAAATAATTTAAAATTTTACATGAACTTATTAATATATGATGGAAGAATTATGTATTATATTTTATAAACGCTGTATATAAGTTTATATTTTAAATGGAAGGAATAATGTATATATGATGAGAGCATTCGTGTCAATTGATCAAAGTGTATAAAATAATTTAAAATTTTACATGAATTCATTAATATATGATGGAAGAATTATGTATTATATTTTATAATTATAACCCGAGGGGTGAGTTTAAAAAAAATATTATTTAAATATTAGAAATTATCTAATATTTGATTTGGTTTAATGGTGTGTCAAGGCCAAAGTTAAAAAAATAAATCCTAAAAAACAATTTAAATATTTGATGGATGAATTAAATCACCATCTAACCCGATTTAAGTTTTTGCTTGGAAAATTTAAAAGGGGCAAAAAAATCACGGGGTGTGGCTCAATGAAATGATTACACAAATACTAATGTCAGTTATAAGACTTTACCCTTGAATAACAGAAAATAATATTACGCAAATGGGATGCGACTTTCACTAGATAAGTGGCAGAAAATGCTGAGGAAATGGCGGTGACCCGACTGCTGTGAAAAAAGCTAGCAATAGGGGTCGTGTACTAGAAAATCTGTTGTCAGTGTCTTTGGTAATGGTGGCTAGCTAGATGGCGGTGGTCGGGAAGCAATAACAGTGGCCTTGCGGTTGGGTTTGTATTGCCAAGTTGCTTAGTTTGAGTATATGTTTGCTGAAATCAGAGCTCGAATATCTCTAATTGCTTCTTGCTAAAAATACTTTGAGATTCACGTATCATAACAAAATTTTGAGTATGTATTAGTTGCTCCCATATTTACATAGTATGGGTCACGATTTGGAATAAGAAGAAAAGTTGCTCCTATTACCATCGATAGTGGTGGCCAGATGGTAGTGGTCGGAAAGCAACAACGTTGGTCCCTAAGGTTAGGTTTGTCTTGCCGAGATGTTAATTTTGCTGAAACCAAAGCTCGAACAATTATGAATTCATATTTTTTGGCTATGCATGGATGAGTAAGATCATTATAAACAGCAAAGATTAATAAGCAACAAAATAAAAAAAAAACAAAATTTATTTGCAACAAACATAAATTTATATTGTCATTAGCTTAAGTTTCACTACAAAGCAAATAAAAAATATTTTAGATAGTTTTTGGAAGGCGAAGGGGTCATGTTGTAAATGTCGCATCTAGGTGGGGATTAAGAATTTATCTCCCTCTCTCTCTCTCTCTCTCTCTCTCTCTCTCTCTCTCTCTCTCTCTCTCTCTCTCTCTCTCTCTCTCTCTCTCTCTCTCTCTCTGCTGCACTTTAGGATTTCCTTCCGCAGTAGCAAAGCAAAAACGGTGCTATTTCAAAGTTTATCCATTACAGTTATTACTATCCCTGCAAATAAGCTACACGTAATAATGTGATTATTGGTAGCGAACAGTTCAAGAGTTTGTTCTCTGTCTCTCTCTACATTTATAAATATAAGAATTGATTCATGATTAGCAGGCAAAAGAGAGAGGAGAAGCAAAAGAGTTTCCAAGAGATGGAAGCAAACCGTAGAAGAAATGGAGGAGATGAGGCACTGTCGAGGAAGCTTCACATTGTTTATTTCCTGAGCTGGAATGGAAAGATGGAGCAGCCTCACCTCATCTCTCTTCACAACCAAAATAATAATCCTCTTCACCTTCGAGGTACTCTCTCTCTCTCTCTCTCTCTCTCTCTCTCTCTATTTATATATTTTAACTAATGTCTGTACATATGAGATTCATACAACATACAGACTTTAAGAGACGGCTTTCTGAGCTCAGGGGAAGAGAAATACCAGAATCCTTTGCATGGTCATATAAGAGGTTTGCTTGTTAATTAATAGCTTAACGATCATTTCCTTGTAATTTAACAAAACACAACAGACATTATCTAAATATTAATCCAATCTACCAGTCTATAAACATACAGCTACCTCACATCTAGAATCAACTTAAAAGAAATATTATCCACATCTATTTAATGCATATTAAAATTACCATGTACTAAGATTTTTGCAGGAAGTACAAAACCGGGTATATTTGGCAGGATGTCACCGACGAGGATGACCTGATCCCCACCACTAACCATGAATATGTACTAAAGGGATCAATCAAAATCACACAAAAAATAAAAGAAGAGAAAGAAGCAAAGCCTGTTACAGAAATGAACAAGGAGTCGTCGATACAAACATTAGCCTCAACTTCATCTTCAAGGTCCCAGAAGGCTGATGGAAGAACCGAAGTTTTCAAGGTTGATGCATGGAGGGAGGATATCAAAAGATTAAAGAAGCAGAAGAATGAAGAAATTATCATGGAGAATGAGATGAAGTTTCGTGGAGTTGGAAGAAAGAAGGGAGATGGTAATGGTGGTTGCAAGTGGGGATCAATTATGAGTAATCTGCTGAATTGCAGAACTGTTGAGATGAGGGAACAGTAAAAAGAGAAAGATCAATACATAATTGTCGTTTCTGACGATGCTTCAAAATACATTATAATTGTATATTACAATGTGTATAACAGAAGAAAAAAAAAGGTTAGATAAAAATTTGAAATTTAAATAGGAAAGCTTGAATTTATATATTTTTATAAAAGTTAAGTGACAAGCATATAGAAAATCGGAAGGAATATAAGAATTTAAATTGGAGATAGGCTGAGTTATAGACTTTTCATTTATCACGATCTAACAAACACTAGGGCATCGAAGCCTATATACCAATATTGAATAGCAGCTACCAGCAAAACTCTTCTTAAGGTTTGGCAACTTCAAATCTCAACCAATTGTCTAACAAGTGAACATGTAAGAATCTTCAGCCACATGCGTCATATGTCTATATGTAGGAGTGTAAACGAACCGAACACGAACTAACAGAGCTAGTGTTTTTGTTTAATCCATTTGAAATTTAATTTTTTTGAAATAGACTCGTGTTTGAATTTGTTCCTAAAGTCGCTATTCATGTTCGGTTCGAATTGTTCGAAATTAGTTCGAATTGTTTGAATTATTTGTATTATTCGAATTATTCGAAATATTCGAATCATTCGAATTGTTTGCATTGTTTGAATTGTACAAAATTGTTTGAAATTGTTTAAAATGTTATGAAACCAAAATATTATAAATGTATAAATAAAATTTTAGGTGTTAGAAATATAAATACATAAAATGATTTGGACATCATGTAGTCCAAATTTTTCCAAAAGAAAAGAATCATATCCAAGAAAGCTTAAAAAATATAGCTATTTTTTATAAACAATTGCAGACACCAAAAAGACGAATCCAGAAAAATATAAATGAATCTAGGATGAGCTTTTAGCTTGTAATTATTTATATTATTATTAGAAAATACTAATATTTTACTAGTACAAAATTATTTAAAGGAAAAAAAACAAAGAATTCTGTTAGCATGCATCATTCAACAAAATTCCTGCTAATAATATCCATAAATTTATAAAGCCTAAATATCATAAATATAAATATATAATTTTACTTGTTAGATATGTAAATACATAAATATTGCTTAACAGAATGTAAATTTTCCAATCTAAACTAGAAATTGAGATGTCATTGTTATTCAAGTCCTAAACCATACAAGCTTGGGGATAAATTAAAAATAAAAAAAAAAGTAAAAATAGGCTTCATTCAAATACTATCATGTAACATGGGAAAGGTTGGAGGGCTATTCAAGTAAAAATGAAAGATGGATGATATATAGATAATTATATCATAATCATATTATTATGTATACAAATACCCCTACTAAAATAAATGCAGATACATAAATAAATAGAAGAAGAAAATACCTCAAGTTTTATCGATACATAAATAAAAGGATGCATATAAAAAGTAGATATCAAATGGTGAGCAGAAACATGCAACAGTTCTACATGAAAAGATGCATATGAAGTACTTCAGAGCAAACAACAAGTAGAGACCAAACAGTGAGCAGAAACATGCAATGATAATAATATAATTTAACGAAGCCTCCGAGCTTCTCTTTCAGATTCTAGAAGGGTAAGGATGTCTCCTTCCCTGACTGGACCCTTCACATTTCGCATGATTAATCGTTTTGGATCATCCATAAATTTGACCCGGACTTGGGTCACCTGACCTCTAGAACCAGTTCTCCCCATCACCTTCACAACAACAGCCAGCTTCACCTGAGAATCCATCTTCTGCAGTTTTCAAGTTAAATCTGTAAACACGTAGAAATGTGAGGTTTGTATGTAAACAAGTGTAAGCAGTTTATGTACTATCAATAGTATAAAAGGACTAATATGCGGAGTTAGACAGAAAGAGACATGAATAGACTTCATATATATCATCATCATGTGAACAAAAACACATTTTGCAACCCTACATCAAACTAACTATTTAAACCAACAAGTCTAAGGAGGTTAAGAAATTCTAGTTGTTCAAGTAGCTCAAAATCAAGGAGACCTTCCGCAGAAAGAGAATAATTTTAAAAGGAAAATGTTATCCACAAAGCGCTAGAATTGGTACTCTAAAACTTTCTAGACTGCTTTCGATTCTCATGTATGTTGGGTTATTAGTTATATTTATTTCCTTTCCTTTCCTTTGAAGCCTTGAGCAAAACAAACAATCGCTCAGATCTAATTTATTAGAGCACTGGTATATCATTGTAATATCGTTTGATTCTCAGCATGAGATAATCTTCCTGTTTATATACTTTTGTTGGGATACTTTTTTTCTTGTGTGCTACATTAGAATTAGTTTCTCACAATGACAATATCAATGGAAAGAAGACGAGCAATAGGCGGAATTTTGGAGTTTTCCCATTATATAACATAATCAAGCACAAGATTTTGCACGCCTAAATATAATCTCACAAACTTTAATGTGATGAAGCTCTGAAATCAAAATTTATCAGTTTGGTTTCTTTTTCAAGGAATAAAAAAGATTTCAAATTTAATTTTAGAATCAAATTATTTTTGCTTTAGAAGTGAAAAGCCGCCAACTTTATCAGCAACTTGTTTATGAACTTCAAATTTCTATGCATGAAGGATTCACTCTGAAATTTTTATGTAAAGTTAGAATATTTTCCTGTGATCAGATTAATCTCCAGTATTTCAATAAGCCGGTCACCATGGAGCAATACGCTTGTTAATGCCAATCGATATTACAAAAATTTTACATAGCTGAACATTTCATGTCAGAAATAGCTGAGAGGCATACTGATTTCAATTTTTCAATTGCATGCATAAAAATACAAAAAAACTAATGTTGTTTGAACTCGGATTTTTGAACTCGGGCATCTCATTAGAAAAATAGATTAATTCTGAATGACTAACTCATCAAAATGATGGATAAAAGTCTAATCACATGAAAATGTCTTAATGTAGCATCCACAAAAAATACTTAATGAAGCATCACATTAAAAAATAAATTGCAACAACATGATCAACAAATCAAAAGCAGTGAAGATGAGCATAATCACATGAAAAATAATTGTATGATAATTACATAATCATGATGATAGCAAATTATCACTAAAAAAGATAGAAAAAAAATAGAATTCTTATTTCAAAACAATTTTAAAAATATTAGAAATTCTTTTAAAAAGTTACCTTTCTTCATAAAAAAATTAAACAAAAGTGAACAACTGTGTGTACAGATGGCCCTAAACAAATTACAAAGCATTTTTGCATTCAGGATATCATTGTAAGAAGCCAACATAGCTTGTCAGCCATCTTGAATCTCAAAATAGAAAGATAGACACACATGGATGAATAAGCAAGCAAGTAAATAAATTAAAATTATATATAATGTATATTGGAATTAAGTGTATGCAAGTGTAAATAGATCAAAAATCTGAACAAAAACTGCACATGTATACTGGATTTAAGTGTTATCTATTTAAATATATCAGGATTTGGGAGAATTAGTAAACCTATATGTAGAATTTAGGTATTGCAAAAATAAATACTTGATACTATGAGCATATATTCAGAATTTATATATTAGATAGATAAACACTTAAAGATTAAAAAAAAAAAACAGCAAATATACAATTGGAATTTAGTTATTAGACATGCAAATACTTGGGGATTTGAAATATGTACAATTAATTTGAAGTATAGGTGTTATATATATAAATAATATGGACTTTCATATAAATCGTCAAAGTTACATCCAGAATTTAAGTTTTACTAAGGTAAACACTTTGAAATCTAGTAAATCTGCCAGTTTATACTCAAGATTTAGTATTAAGTGCGTAAATACACTAGTTAATAAGCAAGATCAGCAAGCTTGACTTTAAATTTAAGCAGAATATGTAGATATATTGCAACTAAACAATCTCCACATATATATTTTAATTGAATAGCATATCAAAACCTAGAAATCAAGTATTCGACCATTTGGATGCACATATTTTATAGATGAAATGTTATATATGTAAATACATCAGATTTGGAGAATCCTGAAATTAGTTAATAAATTTTCAGGGCCATACATTTAAATACACCATAATTTAATGTTTAGCACAAGTAATTTAGATTTAAGTGTTAAGTATGCATATAGGATGAAATTCAACAAATCTGAAATCCTATAAACGTGTTAACAATAACACAACCTAATGATGACTTATACAAGCTCTATATGGAAAGATAGATGAACACTGAAGGTTTGAAGAGATATATAGGAGGATTTGAGCATCACTTCACAGGATTTGAGCATCAAACACATGGGTAAGATTTAATGGGTAGTTCTAGTAGCAGGGTTTGAGCATCACTTAACATGATTTCATTGAGATATGGGTAAGATTTCAACAACATTTAAACAAGTTTAAGGAACTATTCAGTTAGCAAGATTTGAGCATCAAACACATGTAAAACAAGGATATCGAATTTCAGCAAGACAATAAGATGTGAATCTTGATTTCGGTCAAAAATTAACGAGGATTAGAAAATAATGAATGAATGAGATTATTGATTCAAATACAAATCACGAGAGGTCAAGAGACTAATAAAAAATCCCAGAAGAAAATCCATAGGCGAAGAAGTAAATGGAATCAAATATGTTAGCTTATTTGAAGGTCGGATCAAAGAAACATAGGGATGGATTAATAATATTTTGGCGAATGAGGATTTATGGGAGACTTGGAAAGGGAAGAAACTTATTATTTACAACAGTAAAGGAAACAGGACAAGCAAAATCATCTAAACAACGGTTGATTATGAACAAAGAATTTTAATACATAAATTTTTATGAATCCCAAATATCATAAATATATTAGGGAAACTCCTTCATAGAGTCTAAAAAAAAACATTGCAAGTGCCAAATGAAAGAAAACTGTTAGTATTGTGTCAAATATAGAAAATAAAAGTATTCAGAAGAAAATCCATAGATCAACTAAATGAAGAAAAGAGGAGAAACAGCAAAAAGCGCAGAGGAAAGAGGGGAAGAAGGGCTCGGCTAGGGTTTGGAAAAAAGAGAGAAGAGGGAAAAGCCGGCGCTTGCAATGCCGAGAGCGAGTTCCGTGCAGAGAGGGAGAGGCGATCCGACAAGGAGGAGAGCACCAACGAGGAGGAATCGCCGGCAAGGAGCGGTCGGCCGGCGGGTTTTGAGCGCGAGGAGACGGACCGAGACTAGGTTTCCAGCGAAACTTTCGGCGCTGGGAGAGAAAACTGTTAGTATTGTGTCAAATATAGAAAATAAAATTATTCAGAAGAAAATCCATAGATAAACTAAATGAAGAGAAGAGGAGAATGAAATCTCACTTCCAAAAGCTCAGATGAACGAGGGGAAGAAGGGCTCGGCTAGGGTTTGGAAAAAAGAGAGAAGAGGGAAAAGCCGGCGCTTGCAATGCCGAGAGCGAGTTCCGTGCAGAGAGGGAGAGGCGATCCGACAAGGAGGAGAGCACCAACGAGGAGGAATCGCCGGCAAGGAGCGGTCGGCCGGCGGGTTTTGAGCGCGAGGAGACGGACCGAGACTAGGTTTCCAGCGAAACTTTCGGCGCTGGGAGAGATAGGGTTCGGGGGAGAGGTTCATGCGATAGTTTAAATAGGAAAAAAAAATAATAAATTTTTTTTACAAAGTAGTAATAATAATAATTATTATTCAAATAAGCATTGTTTCACACATTTATAGCTGGTAGACATCCTTGCAGCGAAGTAGATGTCCCTCTTGGCCAAAATCAACGTTTCGGGCACAACGGTGTGGTTCGTTTCGTTATTCGATATCGTTCGGATAACATCGTCGATGATCAGGTCAAAAATACGTCGATTCAATTTTCGTCAGATCAGTTCATGCTCGGTCGATTCAAAATTTTGTTGAAGTTTTCGACAAAAAACGGCGCAAACAATGTGAATTGTGGTATTTTAACGTTTTGACTGTCTGAAACACGAAGTTTGTGTGCGTCAATATGCAAATTGTGCAAAAGACAATCCTAGGGCTTAAAGGTCATATAGAGGCTCATTTTGAGTTCCCTCGTGTTAGTTTCAACATTCTAAGTGTTAGAAATCAAGAACCACACGTGGAACTTCCAAAGAGTAAAAAGATGGTTTGGACTTCTAAAATGAGGTGGGTCTCATTTCCAGCGCTTTAAGATAGTCGAAGGGAGAATCCTAAGACTAGACCCTAAATCTTAAGAGGAAAACTCAATCTCACTAAAAAAAAGGTCAACACAACAGCATAGTAAATCCCCTTCAAAAAGCACCCCAACAGTGCTAGAAATCTTCCATAGAAAAGCAACAATAACATGAGAAATCCCCTTAGAATAATGGATTGATAATGCAAAAAGGAAGTTTAATTGACTACATAAACAAGGTAGGAGCACTTGTTACTAGAACGAGTAAGCTTTATTGATGTCACAAATAGGTTGAGTGACTCTAAGATGGGCAACAACAATACCAATGGGGAGCTCCACTGATCTCACAATCAGATCAAAAAACTTTGAGATGGGCAACAACAATGTCAAAGAGGAGCTCCATTGATCCAACTAATGGGCTAGCACACTTCACATTTTCCTCATCTTTTTAGCCTATTTATATGCTAAAAAAGGCCAAAAATTGGTAAAAAAAAAGCCAAAATATGGGCTAACCCTCAATAGGCTACATGAGCCATTCAATTTCGTAAATTTGAACAACATAAGCAAGCAATTTGCATGCCCATGCGGTTTTACGTAATAAACTGCGTCATGACGCCAAAAATCACATGTCCATGCAATCCCTCCATCTAGGTCAACTCCCAGGAAAGAATCCCACCGTTTGATTTCGTCTACATCCATTGTATGTTCCCGTCTCGTAGTTTGTCGAAAAGGTTCAATTATCATTCGGTGAAATCCTACATTTGTGTAGTGTCTCACGGGTTTGTTGGCCTGCTCCGCTGGTCTTACCTGACAGCCCAACCCATCGACAAAAAATACCTACATGTATGTCAATGCTAGGAATTGAATCTACGACCTCAGATAAGTAAAATACCGACAGAGCTACAATTCTTTCCATAAACATATGTAGATATATATATTTAAAAGGAATGGTCGGAGGTTATGATACGAGCCCTGACCATCTCTCATGCGCCTATAATTCGAGTACCACACCCTACAGTCAGGGGGAATCAAACCCCAAACCAGAGGGGACTTACAATTGACTAGCAAATGTCTGACCAACTGATCTGAGTATGCGACACATATATATTAAAAAAATTTAGATTTTGATATTTTGGGACGTCGAAGTTGACCTCACTTGAAAAAGAGGAGAACTGATTTATAATCAATAAATTTTCATCATATGAAACAAATCTCGAAGCAAGACATCTCATAATACTTTTCAAGCAAGAAATATCAATACCAAAATTAAAAAAAAAATCAAAAACTTTAATTTCAACAAACATACAGTCAAATTGACTGACTCGAGGAGACAAAACATAACAACATTACAGTTGATCCAATCCAGTCAAATCAAGTCCAAATTAAGTAGTTAAGACACTTTTGAAGCTTTAGAGCCCAATCGAAAGTCAAAACAGATTTTAAATCGAATAAAATTACTATTAAATCGAAAGTCTCGACAAGACAAATATAACGAGCCCAAGATCACTCAATTATAATATTTTAAAGGAATTTAAATATGTATGGAATGTTATCCACTCACAGGAATCTCTTTAGGTGGTCGAATGAAATGATCTAGATGCCTTCCTTATTTAAAGAGAGATCTTTTTTAGACTTTATAAATAGAGCTCTACCCTCTTTATAAAGGGGGGCTAGATCTTGAAAAAGAGGAAGATTGGAGCTTAGAGAAGAATGTTAAACTCTCATGCAATCGCCGACGCCATCAACCATCGCTTGTCAATCGCTCTTCACTATCACCTGTCACCTCCTACTCATTGTAACCAAGCCCTTGAGTAATCATTACATGTTATGCAAGTTATGCATAATCCCACTGTACGCTATGCAATAGCAAAACATCTTACGAAGCAGTGCAATGACACACTCCAAAGATGGTGACACGAAGCATCCAAAAGGTAATTTACAAACACATCCCGAATATGGTGCAATAATGCACCTCACGTACGATGCAACAACAAATCCTAATGATGGTGTAACGATGCATCCCCAAGATGGTGAAATAACACACATTGAAATATAGTGCAATGATGCATTCCATAATAACTGCTTTCAACAGTCGTACTCATAATACAATGACTTTCTCTCCTCGCAGCTTGTCATTATAGCGTACATGACTAACTACGAACTACAGGGCTCATAGCTCATGCAACTCCAACTCTAACATTTGTGGCATAAAAGACTTTATCACAACTCATACAACTCTTAACTAAGGTCTACATTGATCACATCTCATGCAACTTCTAGATGCAGCCTCTGTTGCTTATGGATATTGTCATAGCTCATGCAGCTCCTAACTTCAGCCTCTGCAACCTACAAAAATTATCACAACTCTTGCAGCTTCTAACACTGACCTCTATAGCTTACGGACATTATCATAGCTCATACAACTCTCAACTTTGGTCTCTATAGTTTATGAATATTATCATAGTTCATGGAACTCCCAACTATGGCCTACGTGACTCATAGCTCACGAAGCTCCTTACTTTAACTCTACGACTTACTGATATTATCACAGTTCATGCAGTTCTCAATTCTATCATATGCGGCCTATAAATGTCATTATATTTTTCTGTTATGGTCTATGTGACTAACTATGAACTACACAACTCACAAACGTCATTGCAACTCCCTATTATGGTCACTGCGGCCAAGCAATTCTTCTAAAACAACCATTTACGGGTCACATGACCAATTACTATTATGACTTTCAACTACGACTTGTACGATAAGCCGGCGCTACAACCACTGTCTAGAATATTCAAACAGATTCTTGCCTCCATAGTAATCAAATGTGGTCTTCACCGCCACAGTCACCAAATAGTACAAAACAAATGTTGGGATGATTACATTAGAAAGTAAGAGTACCTTCCTTGGGTAATTTAATATTTATTCAGTGAGCTAAGACATCCTAAATGTGGAGGGTCTATTAAATGTTTAAAAAGATAAATTCAAGCAATTATGATCATTTTAAATTTGGCCGTATCATGATCTACTAGCAACCACAAATTTATAAATTAGTTTTTTTCCTCATTGTTATGAAATTGTAGAATTTGTTCCCACTTGGATTGCTCTTAGGCAACCGCAGGTGTTCTAATTTGATATATTTTTTTTTGTTTTGATATGCACTTATTGTATTTGCTCCCACCAAGATGTTGTCATGAGCAACCACAAATTTGTTAATTGGTTGTATTTGCTCCCTCGTGTATGGCCACCTCGGCCAACCGTGGGTCTGCTTTTTTTTATAGATTCATGATGAGATATAAAATCTTGGGGGTTCTTATGGATGTCCATTGTGTTATTATAATTTCAAATATATACGTGTTTGATTGCTCGACAAACCAAAATCTCTTTTTTTTTTAATCATACGACCTTAGGGGTTCTTCTGGATATAAGTGTCAAAAAACTCGCCATTCGTGAGTAGCTTGTGTTTGACATGCTATGCAGCTCGTATTCGATTTGTTTAATAAGGAAACGAGCTAAAAATGAACCTACATATTAAACAAACTTATATCTGACCGTGTTCTACTTGTTTTGGCTCAAATTAACTACATATTATATAAAAGTTAAAATAATAATATTGTTGACCTCACTTTTGGTTGAGGTCT